GACAATCGGTCTGTCCTTCAGAAGGAGAGTAGGACATTGCTGTCATCTGAGAATGTCAGAGACAAAAGGAAGCATGCAGTGTACGGGGGGAAACCAACCGAGCTAGGTTTTGTCAGTAAGAAGATGCATGTACATAGAATGCAGAGAGGGACTAGGGGAACCCCATAAAAGAGCCCACACTTTTTGTGTTTAAAAGCGTGACCCCTTCAAAGGTAAAGGGAAACCAGCTGTTGAAAGTACAGCGTAGCTTTAATATTATCCGACACCCTAAAACTCAGGCGTCAACCTCATCCTCAGAAAGGTACCAAGTTTTGGAAATTCCTTAATGGGAAGGTGACTTGGGTGGCCCCAAGGAAAATAGAGAGGCAATGCTTTTGGAAGCGAACCCGTAAAAAGGCGCAGTGTCTTTTTAGAGCCCTAGTCCGTGTAGTAGGAGAACACAGGGAAAGTTGCCTCGTAAGACAGAAAGGAAAGTTTCCCTTTGAAAGTGATGTCAGTCAGGAATGGGCTCATATAGGTGAAAGCTGGCACAGAGGTGCCAAAGTAAAGAGTTTGGGCTTGTGTGTTCTGCCCCCTACGGGATCAAAACAAAGGGGGGGGGATATGTGGCAGTGCGGTATCCTGCCACGGTGGAAAGCACGATGGAGACCCAGGATTCTCAACCATAGAGGTTGAGGGGCTCCAGGCAGATCTCCTAATGCAGAGGAAACTGGTTTATCAGTTTCCTCTTTGGTTGGTAAAGCCTCTTTTGGGACTTGTAGCCTGGAGATTTCTTAGAGATTTGGGAGGGATGAAATCTCCAATCCTGGGCCCATATTTTGGGAGCAGCCAGCGTGCTGATTGCACAGGTGTGTGCAGGCCTTTTAGGGGAGGCCAGGCCATGATTCTGGGCTCCACTCCGGCAAACGGAGTCGGGAGGGCTCCACCCCAGCAGGAGGATTCCACCCCGGCAGGCAGGAGGTCTCTGCCGTGGAGTCAGGTGGGCTACACCTAGGAGAGGTGGAAGCCAGACTAGCTGTGTGCTAGTGCCATACTTTGGGAAGAGTCTGCAGGAGGCAGACTTAAAACTGCGTACAAGCCAGGAGGCTGCATACTGTTCATTTGAATTCGTGTGATGGTGGATACCCCTGCGTGGGAAACATTTATGTTATTGAACTGTCATTTAAATAAAAGTGGGCAAACAGGCCCTTAAAAAATAAGCGAGTTGCCGTGTGCTTTGAAGAAGCTCTACCACTTGAAGCGAGTTCCCACAATATATACAGTCAGGTCCATAATTATTGGGACATCGACACAATTCTAACATTTTTGGCTCTGTATACCACCACAATGGATTTGAAATGAAACGAACAAGATGTGCTTCAACTGCAAACTATCAGCTTTAATTTGAGGGTATTTACATCCAAATCAGGTGAACGGTGTAGGAATTACAACAGTTTGCATATGTCCCTCCCACTTGTTAAGGGACCAAAAGTAATGGGACAGAATAATAATCATAAATCAAACTTTCACTTTTTAATACTTGGTTGTAAATCCTTTGCAGTCAATTACAGCCTGAAGTCTGGAACGCATAGACATCACCAGACGCTGGGTTTCATCCCTGGTGATGCTCTGCCAGGCCTCTACTGCAACTGTCTTCAGTTCCTGCTTGTTCTTGGGGCATTTTCCCTTCAGTTTTGTCTTCAGCAAGTGAAATGCTCAATCGGATTCAGGTCAGGTGATTGACTTGGCCATTGCAGAACATTCCACTTCTTTCCCTTAAAAACTCTTTGGTTGCTTTTGCAGTCTGCTTTGGGTCATTGTCCATCTGCACTTTGAAGCGTCCAATGAGTTGTGAAGCATTTGGCTGAATATGAGCCGATAATATTCCCGAAACACTTCACAATTCATCCGGCTGCTTTTGTCAGCAGTCACATCATCAATAAATACAAGAGAAGCAGTTCCATTGGCAGCCATACATGCCCACGCCATGACACTACCACCACCATGCTTCACTGATGAGGTGGTATGCTTAGGATCATGAGTAGTTCCTTTCCTTCTCCATACTCTTCTCTTCCCATCACTCTGGTACAAGTTGATCTTGGTCTCATCTGTCCATAGGATGTTGTTCCAGAACTGTGAAGGCTTTTTTTAGATGTCGTTTGGCAAACTCTAATCTGGTCTTCCTGTTTTTGAGGCTCACCAATGGTTTACAGCTTGTGGGGAACCCTCTGTATTCACTCTGGTGAAGTCTTCTCTTGATTGTTGACTTTGACACACATACACCTACCTCCTGGAGAGTGTTCTTGATCTGGCCAACTGTTGTGAAGGGTGTTTTCTTCACCAGGGAAAGAATTCTTCGCTCATCCACCACAGTTGTTTTCCGTGGTCTTCTGGGTCTTTTGGTGTTGCTGAGCTCACCGGTGCGTTCGTTCTTTTTAAGAATGTTCCAAACAGTTGTTTTGGCCACGCCTAATGTTTTTGCTATCTCTCTGATGAGTTTTTGTTTTTTCAGCCTAATGATGGCTTCACTGATAGTGACAGCTCTTTGGATCTCATCTTGCGAGTTGACAGCAACAGATTCCAACTGCAAATAGCACACTTGAAATGAACTCTGGACCTTTTTATCTGCGCATTGTAATTGGGATAATGAGGGAATAACACACACCTGGCCATGGAACAGCTGAGAAACCAATTGTCCCATTACTTTTGGTTCCTTAACAAGTGGGAGCACATATGCAAACTGTTGTAATTCTTACACCGTTCACCTGATTTGGATGTAAATACCCTCAAATTAAAGCTGACAGTCTGCAGTTAAAGCACATCTTGTTCGTTTCATTTCAAATCAATTTTGGTGGTGTATAGAGCCAAAAATGTTAGAATTATGTCGATGTCCCAATATTTATGGACCTGACTGTGTATGTATGTATGTGTATATATATATATATATATATTGGCTACATCTTTTTCTGTAAATATTTTTATTGCACCCTTTTGACCTTTTTAGTAATAAATCTTATTTCTGAAAGTGTTGAACTGTTTCTAAAGCTCTTTAATGCAAACTAAGAACCCCTGTCTCTGAAGAGTGCTACTGTGTATGTTTAAACCTCTAAATACCCTGCCTGCGGTGACTGTGGTATACAGCCGATTATTCAACATCATAGTGTTATTTCTGATATTGCCGAGTTTCCTCTTTTCTGTACAAAAAGGAGGTGGTGGCTGTCAGGGCTCCCAGGTGTGACCAGAGGTGTGTGGCTGACGCAGGGAAACGCAGGGTATGTTAAAACAATATAATTTATTAACACTAACAATACAAACATAAACGCAGTGCAATACTAAAACATAATACAGTGCAACCAAACCAAACCAAACCAACCACCCACAGATAACAGTACATACAAGCAAGCGTCGTCAGGCAGGCCAGGTCAATATCAATCAATAGGGCAGGTAGGTACAGGGGGAGCAAGCGGAGATTGGTCGGGGTCACAGGCCAGGTTCAGCAGGTAGCAAGCAGCGTAGTACAGAGGGGTCAGGCAGAGGGATGGTCAGGGTCACAAGCCAGGGATCAGAACAGGTACAAGCAGCATGGTACAGAGGGTCAGGCAGAGGGATGGTCAGGAGCGAGCCGGGATCAGAGCAGGAGAAGTCAGCAGCGGTTCAGAAACAGGATGCAGGACAGAAACAGGATACAGGGCCCAGGACAAACACAACACCAAGGCAGAGTCTGTGGGTCTGGCCATCCCTTAAATACCCCAGCATAATCAGTTCCAGGTGTTAGCTGGCTGCAAAGTTGAGTCTCTGATTGCTGGGAGCATCCGCTGGCCAGCCCTGGTACTGCAGATCAAAAGGCAGGTGAGTCCCACCATTGCTGGCCAGTCCATTCCTGACAGTACCCCCCCCCCTCAAGGAGCGGCCTCAGGACACTCCAAACAGTCCTAGCTGGGAAAAAATGTTCCACCGCCCGGGTCTGGTAACTGGCGGGATATCAAAGACTGGCACACCGGGCAGGACTCCGGGCAGTGGTACACCGGGCAGAGGCACATCGGGCTGGACTCCGGGCAGAGGCACACCGGGCAGAGGCACACCGGGCTGGACTCCGGGCAGAGGCACACCGGGCTGGACTCCGGGCAGAGGCACACCGGGCTGGACTCCGGGCAGAGGCACACCGGGCTGGACTCCGGGCAGAGGCACACCGGGCTGGACTCCCGGGCAGAGGCACACACCGGGCTGGACTCCGGGCAGAGGCACACCGGGCTGGACTCCGGGCAGAGGCACACCTCCGGGCAGAGGCACATCGGGCTGGACTCCGGGCAGAGGCACATCGGGCTGGACTCCGGGCAGAGGCACATCGGGCTGGACTCCGGGCAGAGGCACATCGGGCTACCAGGCAAAGCAGCGGGCCCCCGGCGGGGGACGGCAGGCCTCGGGCCCCCCGGGCGGGGGGGCGGCAGGCCTCGGGCCCCCGGGCGGGGCGGCAGGCCTCGGGCCCCCGGGCGGGGCCCCCAGGCCTCGGGCCCCCGGGCGGGGCGACAGGCGCCGGACCCCCAGGCGGGAACTACAGGTCTCTCGGGCCCTCGGGCGGAGCGGCGGGCGCCGGACCCCCAGATGGAGCGACAGGTCTCGGGCCCTCAGGCGGAGCGGCGGGCGCCGGACCCCCAGATGGAGCGACAGGTCTCGGGCCCTCAGACGAAGCGGCGGGCGCCAGACCCCAGATGGAGCGACAGGTCGGGCCCTCAGGCGAAGCGGCGGGCGCCGGACCCCCAGATGGAGCGACAGGTCTCGGGCCCTCAGGCGGAGCGGCGGGCGCCGGACCCCCAGGCGACAGGTCGGGCCCTCAGGCGTCGGGGGCCCCCCCCAGATGGAGCGACAGGTCTCGGGCCCTCACGGCGGCGGGCGCCGGACCCCCAGGCGGGGCGACGGGTCTCGGGCCCTCAGGCGGAGCGGCGGGCGCCGGACCCCCAGATGGAGCGACAGGTCTCGGGCCCTCAGGCGGAGCAACAGGTCTCGCCGGCCCCCAGATGAAGCGGGGGCACAGAGTCGGGCCCCAGGCACGACAGTGGGCCCCCACCGAGTCGTCGGGCAAGACTGCGGGCACCCAGCCGACTGGGCGAACAGGGCCCCCAGGCGGGGCGACTGGCGTCGGGCCCCCAGGCGGGGGGCACGGGCGTCGGGCCCCCAGCGTCGGGCCCCCAGCGGGGCGACGGGCGTCGGGCCCCCAGGCGGGCGGGCCGGGCCCCCAGGCGGAGTCAGGTCTCGGGCCCTCAGGCGGAGCGGCGGGCGCCCGGACCCCCAGATGGAGCGACAGGTCTCGGGCCCTCAGGCGGAGCTACAGGTCTGAGTCACCAGGCACGACAGTGGGCACCGAGACTGGCAAGACTGCGGGCACCGAGCCAACTGGCGGAACAGCAGGCTTCGAGTCGTCTGGCAAGACTGCGGGCACCGAGTCGTCTGGCAAGACAGTGGGCTCCGAGTCAACAGGCACGACAGTGGGCACCGGGTCATCAGGTATCGGATTGTCTGGCTCGACAGCGGGCATCGGGTCACCAGGTATGACAGCGGGCACTGGGTCACCAGGCATCAGGTCATTTGGCTTGCCAGCGGGCACCGCATCATCTGGCAAGGCAGTGGGCACCAGGTCACCAGGTATGACAGCGGGCTCTGAGTCAATTGGCACGACAGTGGGGCACTGGATCAGGTACCGGATCATCTGGATCAACAGCGGGCATCGAGTCAACTGGCCTAATAGGATCGTCGGGCTGGATCAGTTCATCATGCTGAGTAGAGGCTTCAGGCTGAGTAGAGGCTTCAGGCTGAGTAGAGGCTTCAGGCTGAGTAGAGAGGCTTCAGGCTGAGTAGAGGCTTCAGGCTGAGTCACGGAAGGCAGGTTCACCGGTTTGGATACTGGCAGGATGGTATTGGTTGGAAAGAATTTTCGCTTTTTTTCTGGTTTTAACTACTGGAGCACTGCAAGTAAACGCAGGTCTGCAAACGAATGGAGCAGCTGGAGACAGAGAAAAACTGGAGGATGGAACAGGAGAGGGAGCAGTTGCTACAGAGGGCTTTTTAACAGGGTTAAAGGCAGGATAGGTGCAGCGAGTGGGAACAGGGTACTGACATGCGGTAGATAGCCAAGTATACTGGGCTGTAACTGGAGGAGCTGGTGGGAATACAGGAGTAGAGTTAGAAGCAGGACTGGGTTTTTGTAAGCTGACTGAGGCTGGGTGCAACAAGTCTGTCCATGTCTGCAGTAGGGGTTGAACAAAGCTGAGCTTACACAAAGCCTGTCTGGTCAATGACTGCACTGCGTTTATACAATCTCTTAGTGTCTGTGGTGAACATGTGGAATAACGCTCCAGAAAGTAACCCACATCATCCTCTAATAATAACCACACCAGGGACTCTACCTGGTCTGCACTAAATGGTGGCAAAAATTCATCCCTGCATTCGGGGGAACCAGATGAAACCAACTCAGCACAAACCTCAATCAAAGGCTGCACCTCAGAGAACTCTGTGCCCTGATCTACTAGAACATGAGCGAGCCGTATACATTCTAGTAGTTGATCCCTGGGATACTCCTTCAGAGTTTGATAAGCATACTCCCTGTCATCAAACGCTAGCAGATATAAATACACAACCTCATCCAGATCCATCCTTCCCAGCAACAAGCCAAGATGGCTTCCCTGTGCAGCCACTTCTGGTCAGGATTGGCCTTGGTGTAATGTCAGGGCTCCCAGGTGTGACCAGAGGTGTGTGGCTGACGCAGGGAAACGCAGACCTCAGGTATGTTATAAATACAAACATATACGCAGTGCAATACTAAAACATAATACAGTGCAACCAAACCAAACCAACCACCCACAGATAACAGTACATACAAGCAAGCGTCGTCAGGCAGGCCGGGCCAATATCAATCGGGCAGGTAGGTACAGGGGGAGCAAGCAGAGATTGGTCGGGGTCACAGGCCAGGTTTCACCAGGTAGCAAGCAGCGTAGTACAGAGGGTCAGGCAGAGGGATGGTCAGGGTCACAAGCCAGGGATCAGAACAGGTAGCAAGCAGCGTGGTACAGAGGGTCAGGCAGAGGGATGGTCAGGAGCGAGCCGGGATCAGAGCAGGAGAAGTCAGCAGCGGTTCAGAAACAGGATGCAGGACAGAAACAGGATACAGGGCCCAGGACAAACACAACACCAAGGCAGAGTCTGTGGGTCTGGCCATCCCTTAAATACCCCAGCATAATCAGTTCCAGGTGTTAGCTGGCTGCAAAGTTGAGTCTCTGATTGCTGGGAGCATCCGCTGGCCAGCCCTGGTACTGCAGATCAAAAGGCAGGTGAGTCCCACCATTGCTGGCCAGTCCATTCCTGACAGTGGCAGTGTGAAGGGTTAATTGCGTAATTAACTGACCCAGTAACAATCGCTCCCAGGCTGCAGATACACAGATTGTGGTCCATTAGCTGGAAAATCTTTGCGCAGGGTGCAGTTGGGCATGGCATTGTTACACACGTGACAGAGCGGTTTTAGATTGGCTAGTCCTTCGGTCACGAGTTTGGTGAGAAGGGCTGGGGTCTGACGCCACGATCGTCACAATGCATCCGGTTTTTTTATTAGCCAAAGAAGCACCCTAGGTGATCCACTCTAATTTACTTACCCATTGTTAAATGAGCCTGACTTTCCCTGTCTTCATTGCTAAGCCCTGCGGCATCATTGCCTGATCCAATGCAGGGTTGACAGCCTCCTACAGCATTTATTGTTTATTGTCGGAGTCCCCCAAGGCTCTGTCCTCGGGCCCCTTCTCTTCTCCATCTACACCTCCTCCCTTGGCAAACTAATACACTCCCACGGCTTCAATTACCACCTCTATGCCGACGACACACAAATTTACCTCTCCACCCCCCATCTCACCCCCTCTCTCTCCGCCCACATCGCCCACCTCCTGAACGACATATCAGACTGGATGTCGCTCCATTTCCTCAAATTAAACCTGTCCAAAACAGAGCTCATGGTCGCCCCCCCCCATCCTCTCCATCACTACTAACAACGCCACCATCACTCCCACCCCACATGCCAAAGTCCTGGGTGCCACCCTGGACTTGAACCTTTCCTTCCTACCTCATGTCCAATTACTATCAAGATCATGCAGGCTCCACCTCCGCAACATCTCCAAGATACGTACATTCCTCACCCCAGACACTACTAAACAACTCGTACACTCCCTCATCATCTCACGCCTGGACTACTGCAACTCCCTTCTCGCTGGCCTACCCAAACAAACGCTATCCCCTCTCCAGTCTATCCTGAACTCAGCGGCTAGACTCATCCACCTCACCAACCGCTCCACATCTGCCACCCCCCTCTGCCAATCCCTTCACTTGCTCCCGATTGCCCAGCACATCAAATTCAAACTGCTAACTCTGACTTACAAAGCCATTCACAATGCTACCCCAAACTACCTAACCGACCTGATACCCAAATACTACCCTACCTGTGCCCTTCGCTCCTCACAGGACCTCCTACTCTCAAGCTCCCTGATCTCCTCCTCCCCCTCCCCAATTGCAGGAATTATCCAGGACTTCCCCCATCCTCTGGAACTCCCTACCCCAATCCATCAGACTGTCACCTACCCTCCTCACCTTCAGGCGCACCCTGAAAACCCACCTCTTCAGGGAAACCTACCCCACCCTCACCTAACAACTGACCTCCTCCACTCCTCCCACCACTCCATCCCCCACAGCCATTTCCTCCTGTACCACTTTCCCCTCCCTCCTAGATTGTAAGCTCGAAAGAGCAGGGCCCTCGAACCCCTCGTGTATTGTATTGTTTCTGTCTTGTCTCGTGTTCTGTCCCCCTTGCTATTGTACAGCGCTGAACAAACCCTTTGGCGCTATATAAATGCTGTATAATAATTGAGAAAATATAAAAAAAAATACTGACACCCTAAAATATGACAGAAGCTCTCTCTGAATTATTTAAAAAATACAGGGGTCAAATCTATGTAATGTGCTGCACAGTATACTGAGTGGGGCGGACTGAACTATGCAATGTAGAACAAAGTTTATAGAGTGCAGCATTAAGGAGTAAGTATCACAGGGCGCTATAAATTACTGTCAGAGTGAGGAAAAAAACATCTGTGCTTCAGTATTTGTGTATGTGGAGGATGGGGGTTGGGGTGACCCCAGGCACTAAGGGGGGATAATATGCCCTGGTATCAATGGTTCCCAGGAGAACAAAAAAACCTGCAATGTGTCAGCTGGCGTGCTGGATGGCCCCAAGGCCGTGTTAGGATGGAATATAGTGGTGGGGGAGCAATTTTACATTGCAAGGTGTACCTATTAGTGGGGTAGAGTGGGAGACAGAGCAAAGATTTGAATTTCCGGGTACCCTCTTTCTTCACTATGTAGCTAACACACCCCCCTAGCCCCAATGTCAATCTTCAATTAAGAAACTGCTGGGAGTGTTGTCATTGTTATCAGGTACAGTAGTATTTTTACGAGCACCTTCCTTCATCCACACACTCATACAAATTCTTTTTACAAATTCATATAGCGCTGCCCCAGCAGGAGCCACTGTAGTCAAACAGGTTCTTTCCCCACACAGTGCAGAGGCAGCCTGGCACACAGCAACAATTCATTTACTCCAGCTCAATAATCAGTCTAAGGGATGTCTCATAACCAGGGAGGACAATAGGGTATGGGATATTCCAAAATGTCAAAGCACAAATTTAGCAAAGGGCACTTTCTCTAGGTGACAGCAACACAGTCTTTCGCTCTCAGCTGTGGACCAGGAGTATATTAGACCATGTGAAGGACATGTATGTAGCCTGAAACAAATTAAGTTTCCCACAACTGACCACAGAATAGGTTTGGACAGTTATTGGGAGCAGACTGGAGCAGTTTGAGTTCTTGTAGCTGAAGACCACAAGATAGATAGCACAGTAGGCATACTGGAGCAGTTTGTAATATCCGCAGCTGAGGATCATAGATAAACTGCAGCTCATGAGATTGGGCTGTACTCATGAATCCCAGTAGAAGCAAGGCCATGGGCTCGATCAAAGGGAGGGAGTAGTTTCAGCAGCCAGTCAGGAAGGCTTCAGGGCTTGGCGGTCCCCTGTAGCACATGGCCCCCTTCCTCCAGGGGAAGAACCAGTCTGAACAGGTTCCAACCTACATTTGGTGCTCATCATTTTTTGTTCTGGTTTCCTCTGACAACCTGAAAACATTTTTGTACATTCATTGTCCAAACTAGCTCTACAGAGTGTCAAGGCATATACAACATATGTTTATAGGGCTTTGAAAGGGACATTAGATTGTAAGCTGGAAGGGACTGGTGTTATTTGTTCAGTGGTAGGTACTTCATACAGTGCTGCTAAAAGAAAAATTATAGTAGATTTATATACTTTAAAAAAATTAAATTTTTTGTAAGTTTTTTTTCTTCCCTAGTTTTGCTTTGCATTAAATGTAGGGATTTGCAGTTTAACGGCTGGAGGGAGCTTTATATTTGACTCATCAACCTCCCTGCTTAACAACTGTTGAGATATCAGCCACACAAGGAGTGCGTTGTTTCCAGTAAGTCAGCTGAATCATAGACCAGCAATGTAAGCAAGAGTTGTAGAGCAAAAACAACTGCCGAGCACTACAAAGCATGAAGCAAACT